TGGGATGTGTGTGAGTGTGTGTGTGTGTGTGTGTGTGTGTGTGTGTGTGTGTGTGTGTGTTAGGTGTTCAACGGTTGAGTGCGCATGTGTGTGTGTGTGTGAAAACTCGTGTTGCCGCTGTTGCACCGGTTACAAATTCTCAATCACAATGGTCAAGCGCTCACCCTGCTCGTCAAAGAAAGACTTGAGCGAGGCGGTGACAATGTCAGCAGCAGTGAAACCTGAGAAGCAGCGCGTGTGACGTGGCGTGAGCATTGACAAAAACACACGCAATGTATCCGTTCATGCATGATTGAGTGTGCTGCGTGTGCGTGCACGCGTGATACCTTTGCGATCGGTCCAGAGAGCAGTGGAGAGGCAGCGCATCATCATGTCTTTGTAACTGCGAACACTCGGCACTTGTAAGCCTTTGATCTGGGGAAATGAACGTCGATGATGTTCGTCAGCGGTGTGCAAGACAGTGAGCAGCAAGTCGATGAACGTCCACACAATCACATGAATGAATGCACTCTTCTGTATGCACTTGCATGAACGCGCACACACAAAAGACAAACGCGCGAACACACACGCACAATCACAACCACACGCACACACACACATGCACAATCACAATCACACGCGCACACGAACAAACGCACAATCACAACCACACGCACAATCACAACCACACGCACGATCACTTAAGCACCTTTGCGTTTTCATCCCAGCGGCGCATCTGGCAGTAGTTGTCAAAGTCCGGGTCCTGCTCAAAGGCCTTGGCTTCCTCAGCGCTCATAACACCGCCCTGAATGCAGGTGTGGGAACGGGGTGACAATGTGGAGTGTGCTACCGTGTGGTGGGAGGGAATTGGCAGCGTGCATGTCCACGTGAGATGCCCAAACCACAAACCTGGTGCTTGAGCGTGAACTTGCTTCCTGCCGAGAGGCCCTCATAGTACCCGTCCTCCTTGAAAGTGAGATACCTGAGATGCGGTGTTTGTGCAGGAAGGAGAGAGGAAAACAAAGACAAGAATGTTTCAGTCTCCCACTTGAGCATTTGAAGCAAACGCACTCATGCACACGCACTCATACATGCACACACGCAATCACGCAATCGCACACTCGCGCGCTGACCGTTTGGCCTGGACGTGGCCTTCCACCAGCCGCGCGAGACGATCGCTGAATCCCATGTCCCGAAGCATCTTTGCTCCAACGACATCATGCTTGGCCAGCCACACCTGACACCCGCACGGGCGTTGTGTGAGTCGATTGTACAAGAACCCACGTGCGTGGCACTTGTGTCTGTTGATATTGTGCTTCTGATGCGCTTTTGACGAGTGCACATTCCCTGCTGCCTCTCCCATCTAAACACAAACCACAACAGCAACAACAACAGCACCGATTCGTCGGATGTGGTGAGAAGGGTGGAGTCGTCCGGCTTGGGAGCGAGCCATCCAATGTCGTGCAGCAGCGCGGCGATTATGGTCTCCTCATCCGCCTACCCATAGTGTGTGACGGAGAGCACAGTGTAAATTGAGATTCAGTGGGCGAAACGGCGTAAGGAAGATGGTTAGACTGGAAGTCACTCACACACACACACACACACACACACACACACACACACACACACACACACACACACACACACACACACACACACACACACACACACACACACTCGCACGTGTACACAGCCAAGCTGAGGTGGATGTACATACACACTTACGCACACACGAACACACGCACACACGCACACACACGCACACGCGCACACACATACCTTGGCATCGACAGCTTGTTTGGCGGCTTGTGTGGCTGGAAGGCATGTAACCAGCAAGCAAAGTGCGCAGTGAACGGCTGCACTGCAAAGAAAGTTGCACTGCACGACACACGAATACCAAACACATCAACAAACACAAACACAAAGCCAACGGCCAGGTTCAAGTCCTCGTAGCCACGGCGTGCGCCTTCTTCATCCCCTGTGTCACCATCGCCAGGCTTGTCACTGTACAGTCGCTTCTCATTCTCCTCGAAGAGCGCGATCACCTTCTCCACAACCCCGTCGTCCATCTTTGCTTTTGCTTTTGCTTTGCTTTGCTTCTTGACCTTGCTCAGTGGCAGCAGATGAGTCATCCCTCGATGGTAATTTCGTTGACGATTTCAACCGATTTTCGGCGATGGAGGACACTCACCAAAGCAACACTGACGACGATGCTGATGGTTCGCCATCATCCGCTCTGTGCTGTGCGCCATGCAGCAATCTGAGGCACGGCACCACGCAAGGACGCCAGAAGCAAAAAGGAGGGAAGAAGCTCAAAGCGCCGCGGGGTAACCCCAACCAACCAACGGTCAAAGGCTTCAAGCAAGAGCAATGACGCGTGGTGTTTGTTAGCATTTACTCAGACGTTTCCTTTCGACGAGGTTGGCAGAGAGAGAGAGACGGAGACGACGCTGCGACCGAAGCACCTGAAGAAAGCGGGTGAGAAGCTAGCAGGATGGTGATGATGAGGAGGGGGAGGAGGGGGAGAGCAGGCAAGGGCAGAGCGGTTCTCGGTCAAGTGGTGGCAGTGCTCACGCTCTTGGCGTGCTTGAGCATTGCACCAACTGCTTGTGTCCGTCCTGTGCCAATTTTTGCTCATGCTGAGGAACAGCACGTCGCCATTCGAGGTGGGCGCTGTTGTTGCATCTTGTCCACCTGACTGCAGGACTGCTGTGCACAGTGTATTGTCTGATGTGCTTGTGGGTGTTGTGCGCATCTAAACCCTCTCTCCCGAGAGCGCACGGCTCTTCTTGAAAGCGCTCCTACTCTTATTCTGACTCCTCAATTGGAGTTCTTGCCAGCCCTGCCCCGTGCCTCACGCCCAGCTCTCCTGCTTTGTGCTCTTGTTGGTGTGGACAACAGACCCGCAGCCAGCGAAAGGAGTAGCCAAGCCTGTGCCGCACTATGTGGTTGACCTGAGCAAGCCGCCAAGGGAGCGCTGGGGCCACATCCTCAAGCCGTACACGGCCGGCATCAAGTGGGTCATCAACCATGCGAAGAAGAAGGCCGGGCCAAAGCTCTTCGACAAGCTCATTGCCGTCCTGGACAACCTGGACGCTGTGCTGAGCGAGCCATTTGCAGATGAGATTCGCGGCGCCGCCGAGGAAATTGGGATAGACGTTGGCGATCTCGTGCTCTCAAACCTTATTTATGAGACAAATGCGTTCTGCACATCCATTGTCGCCCAGCAAGCGAACGGAACAATCCTGCATGGCCGCGACCTGGACACCCAACTCCCCGGCTTACAGGCCCTGGTCTTCGACGTCTCCTTCAAACAGGGCGAGCAAGGGCCAACCCTCTACCGGTGTGTGTGTGTGTGTGTGTGTGTGTGTGTGTGTGTGTGTGTGTGTGTGTGTGTGTGTGTGTGTGTATAGTGTGTGTGTGTGAGTAGTAGTAGTGTGTG